AATATGAGGCTCATGGCACTTACCTTGGGCAGAAAATTTAGTGGGCGCCAAAAACTTCAAGATTAATGGCAGTTAATGCAGTATTTTAACAATCTGAAATGAATGCAAACAATCCATGATGAACAAAATGTCAAAAAAATTTTAAATTTTATGGAAGTATAGTTGATTTACAATGTTGTGTTTAATTTCCGCTATACAGCAAAGTGACTCAGTCATACATACATATTTTTTTCATATTCTTTTCCATTATGGTTTATCACAGGATATTGAATGTATTTCCCTGTGCTATATAGTAGGAACTTGCTATTTATCCATTCTATATATAATAGTTTGCATCTGCTAATCCCAAACTCCCACTCCATCCCTCCCCACCCTTGGCAATCACAAGTTTTTTCCTCTGTGTCTGTTTTTCTTTTGTAGATATGTTCATTTGTGTTGTATTTTAGATTCCACATATAAGTGGTATCACATGGTATTTTTCTTTCTCTTTCCGACTTACGTAGTATGACAGTCTCTAGTTGCATCCCTGTTGGCTGCAAATGGCATTATTCTTTTTGATGGCTGAGTAGTATTCCATTGTATATGTACCACAATTTCTTTATCCATTCATCTGTCGATGGACATTTATGTTGCTTCCATGTCTTGGCAATCGTATATAATGCTGCTATGAACATTGGGGTGCCTGTAACTTTTCAAATGATAGTTTTGTCTGGTATATGCCCAGGAGTGGGATTGCTGGATCATATGACAATTCTATTTTTTGTTTTTGTTTGGCCACACCATGCGGCTTGTGGGATCTTAGGTCCCCGACCAGGGATTGAACCAGGGCCCTCGGCAGTGAAAGCATGGAGTCCTAACTACTGGACTGCCAGGAAGTTCCCTATTTTTAGGTTTTTAAGAAACCTCCATACTGTTCTCCATAGTGGCTGCACCAATTTACATTCACACCAACAGTGTAGGAGGGTTCCCTTTTCTCCACACCCTCTCCAGCATTTATTATTTGTAGACTTTTTAATGATGCCCATTCTGACTGGTGTGAGGTGGTAACTCACTGTGGTTTTGATTTTCATTTCTCTAATAATTAGCGATGTTAAGCATCTTTTCATATGCCTATTGGCCATCTTTGGAGAAATATCTATTTAGGTCTTCTGCCCATTTTTCGATTGTTTTTTTTGTTATTGAATTGTAGGAGCTATTTGTATACAAAATGTAAAAAAATTTAAATACAGATTGAACAGTACTGTGCCATTTTAAAGTGAGACAAAATGAGGAAGATATGCCCTTTATACATTTTTTAAAGCAATATTTACTGAACACCAACCTAGTACAAGACATTGTAGGAAGATATTTTTATTTAGTTAGTTATTTTTTAATTTAATTTTTATTTTATATTTTGGCCGCTCAGCGTAGCATGTGGGATCTTAGTTCCCCGACCAGGGATCGAACCCACACCCGCTGCATTGGAAGCACAGAGTCTTAACCACTGGACCACCAGGGAAGTCCCCCTTTATACAATATGTTTTTATATAGTTTTTTTTTTTAATAAGTTTATTTATTTATTTTTGGCTGTGTTGGGTCTTTGTTGCTTCCTGCGGGCTTTCTCTGGTTGCAGTGAGTGAGGGCTACTCTTTGTTGCGTTGCGTGGGCTTCTCATTACGGTGGCTTCTCTTGTTGCAGAGCACGAGCTCTAGGCACGCAGGCTTCAGTAGTTGTGGCTCGCGGGCTCTAGAGCATAGGCTCAGTAGTTGTGGCGCATGGGCTTAGTTGCTCCACGGCATGTGGGATCTTCCCGGGCCAGGGCTCGAACCCGTGTCCCCTGCATTGGCAGGTGGATTCTTAAGCACTGCGCCACCAGGGATGTCCTTTATGTAGTTTTTGATGGTTATCTTTCCCCTCCCTGAACACTGAAGTGGTTGAAAAG